GAATTATATTTAATGAATGTTAATAATGTTATCAAGCAGACCTCAAGTTTCGTTTCATGTCTTCATAGGGTTATAACAGATCCTTGTCTAGTCTTGAAAACCTGACCGCCATCGTGGTCTAGTGGTAAAGCGTCCGCCCGGAGAGCGGAAGGTCCGGGGTTCAATCCCCGGCCGCGTCATACCAAAAGACGTTAAAAGATGATACCCTGTCTGGCGCTCGGCATTAAGGGGCTAAAACAAGGACTGGTCGGCTAGGAGTAAGTATACTGTGTCTGAGAGGGGTATTCATGTTAAACTGCGGCATAGTATCTAGGTGTGCTAGCTCTATAAATCAGCATCAGTACAAGCAGCCACACACACACACGTGCATATATAAGTGCAATAATCTTGGACGCGACGTTAAACCCCATTTCACATCACCACACTTCTTGAACACCTGTCTTGTAGAGACTGGAGAAAGTGTGGACAGTCAAGAAGAATTCATGCTCCTGGCTTCATTACGAGAAGATTAATTTGAAATTACTTTGAGCTATTTGAGTTACACTGGACACACGGAGAACCTATCAAACAGATAGAAAACCAATATAGCCATATTCCACACCAAACTAAGGCCTGTGTTTGAACAGTAATTGATTTCTGTTTTGAAAAAGGTAAGTTTGTAATTGATACCGTGTCATTAAACCAAACTAATATATCTTGAATGGATGTCAGTTCAAAGATAAAGTATCAACCGGGGTGGTATCAGTATGAGTGTTCTGGAGAGTGATACACTATACATCTCAATGCCGCTCTTCTATCCCTCCAGACCGCCTCCGTGCATCTCTTCCCGCGCTTCCCTATCGCTATCCGTTTCTCCCTCTCCCCTCTCTGTCAGCCCGTCTTGTTTTCCATTCTTTCCCTCTCTCCACCATATTCTTTCTATGGTATTCTGTCTTTCTCTCAATCAGAGAATCAACAACACCAAAAGAATATGAAAGGACATAAGTATTTGTGGCTTTGACTTTATTGCGAACGTTCAGCTCTGAACTCCAGATTTTCTTAAGCCTTCATTTGTACTTATTGTACATTTATCATTATTGTTATTAATATTATTGCTTTTCGTCAAAAGAAATACCTTATTTCATCAAAATTACATATATTCTGTTGTCTGTCCGTCTCTCTAAGTTAGTGTCTATTCCCACCTCTATTCTGTCTCTCGCAGTCTCTCGTTTTAACCCTCTCTCCCCTTTATCAATCCCTCTCATTCATCCTCCCCTCTTCTCTCTATCAATCTCTTCCCTAACCCTATCCGTTTCTCCCTCTCCCCTCTCTATCAGCCAGGCTGTCTTCCATGCTTTTTCTCTCTTTCCATCAGCTTTCTATGGTATTCTGTCTTCCTCTCAAAAGTGAATTACTCATGATTCGTTAATCCGGATTGTCTTAATCCGAACGATATGTTATGGAACGGAGCCGTTTGGATAAACTTTGTTACACTTTATATGTTTGTTACACGTTAGACAGAAATATTATACTTTAATCAGTGACTCACTTAATTGTTCAAAGACATAACAACCACAACGGCAGTCACGGTCAGTACTGAAAACAACCTCTCTGATGTAACATGAGGCACTAGGGACATAATCCTGTAATTACAAGTATGTATCAGGCATCTTCCAACAAACCAACAACATCAAAGAAATATTTCTTCATCGACTCCTTGGAATGACACGAAATTTTAATAATGTTTCATTTCGTCCAAATACCAGACACATACGAACCGTTTTCCTGTCTGCCAATTAGTATGATAGACATTTCTAAATTCGAATTCATCACAAAAATATCTTACAGTAAAGAACATGTCCATAAATTCTGATGTGTATTGGACCGCCTTCGTGGTCTAGTCTTAGAGCGTCTGCCCGGTGAGAGAAAGTCGGGGGCTCAATCCCCAGCCGCGGCATAGCAAAAGACGTTCAAAGATGGTACTTGTTGTTACCCTGCCTGGCGTTAGGCATTAAGGGGCTAAAAGAAGGACTGGTTCGCTCGGAGTAAGTGTACTGTGTCTGAGTGGGGTATTCATGTTAAACTGCAGCATGGTATCTCAGTGGGCTAGCACTATAAAATCGGCATCAGTCCTACAAGCACACACACACACACACAAACACACACACACACACACTGACACACACTGACACACACACACACACACACACTCACGTCGCTATATAAGTGCAATAATCTTGGACGCGACGAAAACTTTTAACAAACATTATGTGACTTGCAACCTTATACATGTATTTGATAAAAAACAAATTTGGATGAAGTAGAGATGTGAAATAGTCGGATACAATCGTAGAAAGTGTTTTGATCAAAGTACTGCAAGTAGATCAATAAAAAGTATGACATTGGTTTCACTGATGCTGTTTCTTGTTGTTTCTGCAGTCAACAGCTGCATCGAACTGTGATATACATGAAGTAAACTTACTTTCCGGCAAAACCTACTTACAGTGGTCATCGTGGCAAGACGATCCATTCTCAGTTGCAGAAAAAGTGGTTTTCCGCGCAAGAAATCCCGATGTCAGTTTTATTACAGTGGTCCTCGCAACATGAAGACCAACTCTCAGTTGTAGTAACAGTGGTCCTTGTTACAAAGAGACTCACTCTCAGTTGCAGTAACAGTGGTCCTTGTGACAAAGAGACTCACTCTTAGTTGCAGTAACAGTGGTCCTTGTGACAAAGAGATCCACTCTCAGTTGCAGTAACAGTGGTCCTTGTGACAAAGAGACTCACTCTCAGTTGCAGTAACAGTGGTCCTTGTGACAAAGAGACTCACTCTTAGTTGCAGTAACAGTGGTCCTCGTGACAAAGAGATCCACTCTCAGTTGCAGTAACAGTGGTCCTTGTGACAAAGCGATCCACTCTCAGTTGCAGTAACAGTGGTCCTTGTGACAAAGAGACTCACTCTTAGTTGCAGTAACAGTGGTCCTTGTGACAAAGAGACTCACTCTTAGTTGCAGTAACAGTGGTCCTTGTGACAAAGAGACTCACTCTCAGTTGCAGTAACAGTGGTCCTTGTGACAAAGAGACTCACTCTTAGTTGCAGTAACAGTGGTCCTTGAGACAAAGAGATCCACTCTCAGTTGCAGTAACAGTGGTCCTTGTGACAAAGAGACTCACTCTCAGTTGCAGTAACAGTGGTCCTTGTGACAAAGAGACTCACTCTTAGTTGCAGTAACAGTGGTCCTTGTGACAAAGAGATCCACTCTCAGTTGCAGTAACAGTGGTCCTTGTGACAAAGAGACTCACTCTCAGTTGCAGTAACAGTGGTCCTCGTGACAAAGAGATCCACTCTCAGTTGCAGTAACAGTGGTCCTTGTGACAAAGAGATCCACTCTCAGTTGCAGTAACAGTGGTCCTTGTGACAAAGAGACTCACTCTTAGTTGCAGTAACAGTGGTCCTTGTGACAAAGAGACTCACTCTTAGTTGCAGTAACAGTGGTCCTTGTGACAAAGAGACTCACTCTCAGTTGCAGTAACAGTGGTCTTTTGACAATGAGACTCACTCTTAGTTGCAGTAACAGTGGTCCTTGTGACAAAGAGATCTACTCTCAGTTGCAGTAACAGTGGTCCTTGTGACAAAGAGACTCACTCTTAGTTGCAGTAACAGTGGTCCTTGTGACAAAGAGACTCACTCTTAGTTGCAGTAACAGTGGTCCTTGTGACAAAGAGACTCACTCTCAGTTGCAGTAACAGTGGTCTTTTGACAATGAGACTCACTCTTAGTTGCAGTAACAGTGGTCCTTGTGACAAAGAGACTCACTCTCAGTTGCAGTAACAGTGGTCTTTTGACAATGAGACTCACTCTTAGTTGCAGTAACAGTGGTCCTTGTGACAAAGCGATCCACTCTCAGTTGCAGTAACAGTGGTCCTTGTGACAAAGAGACTCACTCTTAGTTGCAGTAACAGTGGTCCTTGTGACAAAGAGACTCACTCTCAGTTGCAGTAACAGTGGTCTTTTGACAATGAGACTCACTCTTAGTTGCAGTAACAGTGGTCCTTGTGACAAAGAGATCCACTCTCAGTTGCAGTAACAGTGGTCCTTGTGACAAAGAGACTCACTCTTAGTTGCAGTAACAGTGGTCCTTGTGACAAAGAGACTCACTCTCAGTTGCAGTAACAGTGGTCTTTTGACAATGAGACTCACTCTTAGTTGCAGTAACAGTGGTCCTTGTGACAAAGCGATCCACTCTCAGTTGCAGTAACAGTGGTCCTTGTGACAAAGAGATCCACTCTAAGTTACAGTAACAGTGGTCCTTGTGACAAAGAGATCCACTCTCAGTTGCAGTAACAGTGGTCCTTGTGACAAAGAGATCCACTCTCAGTTGCAGTAACAGTCGCCTTCGTCGCAGGAAGGCTTAATCTCAAATGCATGTACAGCGGTTCCCAAATGGGAAGAAGTTCACTCTCAGTTGCATCTACAGTTGTCCCAAGTAGGAAGACGGTCACACACAGTTGCATGTACTGTGCTCTCCGTCGCAAAAAAAGCCATTCTCACGTGCATGCATATGTGAGGCGAGGTGAAATGGAGGTTAACGTCGCGTCCAAGACTATTGCACTTATATAGCGCCGTGAATGCACCTGCTTGTGTACTAGCATGGTTATGATGGAGCAAAATTATAAATCTTGGGGAATCGAACCACCAGATAAGCGGATCCCGTCTCGCTAAGGGGCACAACTCTACAGATCACTGGGGAGAGTGATAGGTGAAAGCTCTGTCAATTACAAGACACATTATTTATTCGATATTTCAGAAGCTGCGGGTTTTACAGATTGATGTTATCACTTCTTAAAGGAAGAGTGGAGTGTTTCGACTTAAACAGCAATCGTACGTTGAAATAATACCAATTCGCTGTTTCAGATTTGTAACAATTATAATACATGGACGCCGACAGATAATACGACAAATTGGGCCTTATCTTTATAAGTCTGGCTGTTCCCCTGTAGCCACAAAAAACGAACGTCTATTTTGTTGCAGCATGGGTTCGATTTCTCTTTTATTACTTTTTTTGTTAAAAACAATCAAACGAAAAACAGCATACAGTTGTAAGTACAGACTAGGCACGTCAAAGGTGAAGGTTTTACGGTGATAGTTTTCTTATCAGCTAGCATTGAAGTCCAAATGTCAGAGGTGAAACGATCAATGTCAAGGTGACGATGGTTCCTTGTACACAAAAAGTGTCCCGATTTTGAAAAAAACATGTATACTTTGCAACGATCAACTGCATTGGTGGGGTCAGTGATGATATTTTTTTCAGATAGCTGGTTCATAAAATTCACAAAACAGTAGCAATGCAAATAATTCGCTAGCAATTTCAAATAACCCAACAAATCACACATTCGGAATTTATAAAGTCCACAAATGTCAATCCATGGTACTCCATCAACGATATGAAACGCCATCTTCAGAACAAATGGTCTCCAAACGAATCATGACCAACCATTTGCTGCAACAAGTTCAGTATCTCGGTTTAAGCCGGGAAACCAATTTGGCGTCAAGGCCAAGAAGTTCCAGAACGTTTGATGTTTAAGTTGGATTGTAATATAGTACTGAAACACTTTCGTCTGTCCTCCATGTCAGCACACAAGAAGTCGGATGAGCCCCGTTTACCGATGTTCCTCATCGAAACCTGGTCCGTCTCTCGCGCTGCCTTGCGGAGTCGGGCGTACAAGCGGAGATAGGTATAGAAACAATCCATCTGTTCCATGTCAGGAGGGCAGAGTGCCCAGGCGTCCACCATGTCCCTACCTCGCTTCACTGTTGACCATCGTCTTGAATATTCTGAAAAGTACAAAAAAAGACGTGTATCATCTTCTAATTGGATTCACTGTTCATGTCACTTCTGATTTCGCTCATCGTTAGGTACCGACTTACCATATCTTCCCAGTACCGTAATATAATGACTCATTGTGATATGCCATCCTGTGACAGTATCACTTAGGACTGAATGTTGAAGCAAAGTAATTACGATATCTGAGACGACAAATGCAAGGACTTTGTTGGACTGCAATAAGTATTTAATAAAAACTCGGAAATAGGTGGTCAGCAATGCTGAAAAAACACGGAGGATATTAAAAAATAAACCCACAAAACAATTTCTTCAATCATAAGAAATCATAAGAAATACTATGCATGTTCATGAATGCGACACAGTGTTAGAGCTAAAAGATACCACTTTCCAATGGTACGCTTTATCAATAATCATTATACATTCATCAAGCCATCTTCCCGGGGCAAGGGCGTTAACTGACCAAAAAAAATCAAATTTTTACCCTTGCCGAACGAGACAGGAATTCCGGAGTCTCTAATTAGCAAAGTAAGGTAGTGTGGCCAAGAAGTTTCACTTTAGCTTCAGGTGTATCGATGATATATCGTTCAATAACAATCAAATTGCCAATTCCCTTCCACTAATTTACCCACATGAACTAAAAAATAAAGGAGACCAGTGAGGCCGCCTCATCTGTTTCATATTTACATCTATGCATACAGATTCAGAGCGACAAGGCACTCTTCACAAGACTATATGACAAGAGGGATGACTTCAATTTTCCAATAGGCAACTTTCCCTTCATGTCGAGCAATGTTCCTTCAGCTCCAGTCTTTGGTGCTTACATTTCACAACTTTTGAGATACCAATCGAGCATACTCTGTCTACAAAGATTTCAAAGGGCTTCAAACGACTCTTGCTCAGAAATTGTTTGATCAAGGTTACAACATTCAAGGCCTCAGTAAATCTTTCAAACGGTTTATGGCAGACATGTGGAGAACATTCTACGCATCAGTGACAAGAGTGATGTCCGATGCATGTCCCTACTCTGACTTTTACTATTTGATAGTGATTCATAAACACACGCTCATGACATAGCCGTAATCCTCCACAACCGACTATGCTTTTGGCAGGTATTTCCTATGAGTATGGAAAGTAATTTGGGATTTTGTATGCAGATTTGATATTTTTTCAGTTTCAGCTGCAAAACCTGGTTAATTTTTTTATTTAAACGATGAGCCTAAAAAAGTGAAAACCGTCTTGCGACAATGTATTTTTGTGGCAAGCAATTTCTTTCTTTTTTCAGCAGTCTGAAGCAAAATTGTTCTTGAAGCATTTTCGATTTATATTTTAGACAAAATCCCAGGAAACACCCACGCCCCCAACCCCATAAGATCAAATGGTGGGCCCCTAGCTGAGGACCTTTATTCACTGGGATAAGCAGTCCCATGATACTGTCACCTAGGGTACTATATTTATAATCTTACAATATCCGGCGTACATTCAGATCATCTCGGGCACCGGACATGAAGTAATTCATTGATCAGTATTTTTGTGCTTTTCACTTCAAACTAATTTTACCTCTGTTCCTTTTCTGTGCTGTAATTTCCCATTAACTTCCATGAAATCAATTAATCGTTAAATTGAAAATAACAAAACGCCAAAATCACACAGTATGACTTACAAGATTGTGTGCTCAGACCCTTGATACGTACTTTGGACATCTGTTGATTCAAGCAAATTGATCATTTAATGGCTATTGATGTATCATTCACCTTTCGTAATGACATTGCTTTGATGGTTATTCTTGAAATCAGTTGACGTCCTGCTAACACGAGTGGGCTAGAATGGACGTATAGCCCATATAGGTAAGAAGTCGTCGGTGTTAATTTCCTTCCAATACTCATATGAAAAGGCTAGACTGATAATGTCAAACGAACTGGGTTCCATGTTGACTTATTCCGTGCGGAGTGACGCAAAGACTCGACGACTTCCGGTGCAAGGTAATGCGACATCGGATTCTTTGAGGTGTGGTTCACACAAGAAGATCACCTTCTCGGGTATAACATCAGGTATTTGAAGTTTTAATTATCCCTGGGAAGGTGCTTGGATAAAGGGACATCTAAGTATGAAATGGTTATTTCTTAACTTACTTTCCAATGGCTCAGCTTAATCTATAATGTGTTCAGAGGTCAGCCATATGACGTCCACGGACGTATGTGCACAGCTGGCGTCGGCACAATGACCTATCTGTTGAAAGTAATGTCGTGAACTTGTGAAGCTATTAATCAGACAATTATTATATGTTAGACATTTATTTTATTTCCACTATTAGTGTATGAGTGGGATTTAATATGTTTTTAAAGAAAGAAATTTCATTTTTCAGTTATATTGGGCTGGAGAGGAACAATGTTCTGCAGACCTTTGCTAATTTCCAGCTTTTGTCTTGACGTTCCAATTAGTCCTCTGTGTAAAAAACTAAGACCATGTGTGCGTAAGATCGGAACCATCAGTTTCCGCTATATTCATTAAACAACCTGAGTTGGCAGGTGGGGAAAACGTTTGAATGATCTTAATAAACCTCGTTGGAGCCAGCAAATTGTCCGAGTTCACCCTCAATCAAAGTGGAAGTGACGCAAGTTGTTGAGGCATATAATTACTTAAACAAGCATTGTCGCCTTTTACGGCAAGCATGGGTTGCTGAAGACCTATTCTACCCCGGATCCTGAAACGATGGAGCACACTGCCTTATCCTTGCGCCCGCAGACATGATGACGAACGTTGCGCCGTTACACATCTGTCGCGAAGATTTATATGAGAGTATTTCATGGGGTACCACACAAAACAACATTCAAGTCTTCTATTTTCACTAATAATTGTATACGATTTGGAAATTCATTAATAATAAGTACAATTTTGATGCAGCAATAAAGGTTTTGTGGGTGGATTTATGTAAATAGTTTTGAATGTAAATTTTTAGTAAGTACAATGAATCATTTAATAATTGATTCATCACATTTATTTCTTAATAAATATCACATTCATCTTTTATTATGATTATCGTATCACAATTTCTTTACAGTACTTGAAATCATTTGCCTTGTTGAAGCAGATGACCTAGGTGATATATTTTTAAAAATCAACATTTTTGTAAAAAATCATGTTTTATCGATATGACCTCGGTTACACAGTATGCACGTTTCTGCTCTTTTAAGCAAGAATGTAATTATGGCAAAATTCCCTTCCACTGCTTTACCCACATTAACTAGAAATAACAGATCAGTGAAGCCTCTTTATCGGTGTCATATGTAGGTTAATCGTGCAGAGTGACAAAAAACTCTCCATAAAAAGAGGGACGACTTTTTCAATAGTCAACTTTCCCTCTTTGTCGAGCACAATTCCAGTAGCTCCAAACTTTGGTGTCTACATTTCATTTTGAGGTACCACTGAGTATGCTCTTTCTACCAAACTTACAAAGAGCGTCATACGTCTCTTACTCTGTAGTTGTTTGATCAGAACTACAACATTCGAGGCCTTGGGAAAGATTTCAAAACGTTTAAGGTAACAGTGAGGAGGACAAATCCAAAGTTTATCCGATGCCATTCATCATTTTGACTTGTACTATAATATTATGTTTCTGTGTTTGTGCAAGTCAACACTAGACTTGCCTTTCCAGATGTGACGGTGTCACCGATGGTACAGGTACATGGGTAAACTCACCCATTCGAGAACATCTGCTACCATGCGTATTAAAAAGGTGGTTTATGGACACATGCTAATGACATGGTCGGAATCGTACAAAAGATTTCATATGAGTGAGTGAGTGAGTATGGTTTTACGCCGCTTTTAGCAATATTCCAGCAATATCACGGCGGAGGACACCAGAAATGGGCTTCACACATTGTACCCATGTCGGAAATCGAACCCGGGTCTTCGGCGTGACGAGCGAACGCTTTAACCACTAGGCTACCCAACCGCCCCGATTTCATATGATCATTGTCACTTTAAATTATGTCTTGACCAAAATTGTTTTTTCGCAAGAAAACAAACTGTTTTTCAAATATTCCAAGTACCGTCATACGTATACTAAATAAAGTGCCAAATTCAGTTAAACATCCAAAATATCCTTTAAGATGAGTGAGCGGAAGAGTGAGTGAATTAAAATTTGCCTGCTTTTGTCAAGGCTTTGTTAATTTATCACAACGAAATCCTATCAGACATTGGGACGTTTGCCTTGAAGTACGGAAAAGACGTAGTGATATTCGTCCCCAACATCATTTGACAGACTAATCTAGTGGTCTATTTTATAGGGCGTCAGTCCGGAGAGAGGAATGCTGGTGGTTCGATCACCGGATGCGTCATACCAAAAGACATTAAAAGATGGTACTTGATGTTACCATGCCTGGTGCTTAGCATCAATGGAATCTGTTCATTGTGTTTGAGTAATGGGTAACCGTGTTATACTGCGGAATGGTATATCAGTGGGCTAGCACTATAAAATCGGCATTAGTCCGGACAAGTACGTCTACCTACATACACGCACACGCAGGTACCTACGTGTACGCGTAGCTTCATAAGTGAAACAACCTTCAACGCGACATTTCCGCATCATTTACTTCACGTTACAGCAACATTCAAGCATTGGGGTGTTTCTCAATCATCCTGTCTCACAGGGCCATCTTCCCGAGGCAAGGGCGTTAACTGACCATAAAAGTAGCTAGACTTTTACAGTCAGTTAACGCCCTTGCCTTGGGAAGAGACCCGTGAAGATTCGGGGTTAGAATAGATCTTCAGCAACCCATGCTTGCCGTAAAAGGCAACTATGCTTGTCGTAAAAGGCGACTAACAGGATCGGGTGGTCAGGCTCGCTGACTTAGTTGATGCATGTCATCTATCCTAATTGCGTGGATCGATGCTCATGATATTAATCACTGGATTGTCTGGTCCAGACTCGATTATTTACAGACAGCCGTCATATAGCTGGAATATTGCTGAGTGCGGCGTTAAACAACCA